ATATTTGCCAAGAAAATTAAAGATCCCCAGAGCAAGCATGAGTGGCTGGAAAGATTCTTCACTCTATCCTGCTGGCCTCCTGCGTATGGACCATCAGTGAGACTGAAGCACCTGAAGAGGAAGATGGTCTTCCTCTGAGGCATGATCCTCCCCAGGTTGGGAAGCCAGAATGGGGTTCTTCATGGAACCTGTAAAACAGAATAGGGAACACTGTGGCTTCACCACTGGGTATATCCTCAGGAGGCAGGTGCCAGGAATGGGAAGGGATCTCAGCGTTTCATGAAAGCCCATCACACCCTAGGGACAGTCCCTCTCCCTGACTCCTTACTTCCATAAGCATTTCCTGAACCCCTGTCATATGCCAGTCAGGGACCACCCCCCCCCCCAGAAGCTTAAAGTCCCTTGAGGTCACAGGCCACGTTTCAAAAAATAGAACATGTGAGATATGCTAACAAGCAGGACAGAAATGGTTTAAGAGCTTAGAGAGCTCAGAGGAGAGAGGAGACACATTATGTTGGGATGATGATGGGTTTGGACATCCAGAGGGGCCGATGAACACTTCCAATAGAGACATGTCCAAGTGAACCAGAGAACAAGGAGTGCTGCAACCCAAGTGGCTGCCACGTGGACAGAGGTGTGGGGAATGGATTAGATTGGGCCTTGATCTCAATATTGAGGAGTGTGGCCTCCAGACAGTGGGAGGTATTGTGAAGTATGGGCCATGGGGAGTTTTGTCTACATTAGTAGAAATAGCATGCAATAAACCTGAAGCAGAAAGACTTGTCTGAATGTCAGGTTGTAGGATGGGCCACCCATGCAGAAGCAGGTTAATGAGAGGCAGAGGCAGAGGGATGAGTTGCTGCCTGAAAGATCAAGGACTCCAGGTGAATGTAGGGGAGAATGGGCAGAGACCTTCAAGGCCTCCCACCTGGGTGTGGAGAGTGTGCCCAATAAGGCAGTCCCAAGGCTATTCCTGTTGAGGATGTCAAGTTTGTATTGAGAATAGACAGGTGTAGAATGTTGGGGGCAAAATGAAGGCCAAGATGACACTCAGAGTCTCAGTATTGAAGTAAAAGAAGGGAGGTGCAAAGAGAGGGTAGAAAGGAAGCCTAATGGCATGTGAGGGCCAGGAGCTGGGAAACCAGCAGAGCCTCTCTACAAGGTTCATGGGAGACTCGGGGAAGCTGTTTGGGATGAGGGGTCTGGGGCCACAGGCACAAGCAGGTAACATTTTTCACAAAAGAAATGGAGAAAGGAGAGAAGGTGAGCTAAGAGAAGACAAGGTGAGAGCTCTTGAAAGTTCCAGAAAGAAAGTACAGGCTGTAGAGAGTTAATCCTCAGAATAGGCCTCTGAGGTGGAAGGAAACAGTCCGCCTCGGTGTTGAGTCAGCCAGGTGGGAACCAGAGGAACCATCCTATGCCAACAGGAAGGATGAAGACCCCAGAGATGAGGTGAGGGAAAGGGAATGGCTTCTCCCAGGATGTGAAGGGGTTGGGGGAAAAGGGGATGGAGGCTTAGGTAGTAGGGGAAAGCTCACCAAAGCTGGCCTGCCATACTGGAAAGTGCCCCAAGAGCCCAGAGAGATGCCATCTGTGCTCTTCCTAACTTGTGCCCCAGCTGGGCCCCCAGGCTGTACCCAAGCATGACAGGGAGCAGATCCTTAATAACCAACTGGATGGGCAAATTACAACCCCAATAAGAGGAGAAAATGGGAGTGAGGCAGGGAGAAGGCTGGGCTGGAGGAATCACTAAGAGCTCCCCAGGTGACTCCCTGAAAACAGGTCAGCAGGTGAGTTGAAGTGGAGAAGAAAGGAGGAGACGTACCATTTTCAGGGGGCAATCCCTGTGGGAGGAGCAGGCATGGGATGCAGCTGCAGAACAGCCATGGAGGAGGCCTTGGGGTCCCAGCCCAGACCCTCCAAGGCTGTGTGGCCCAGAAGATGCACACATGTGCACAGGCCCCAGGGCAGGGGCTGCAGCCCCACATCTACTCACCAGGGGCATTGCCTTCCGAGGGTTCCTCACGCACTGTGGATAGTGTCTGCTCCCACGAAGCCCAGTTCACTTCCTCTACCCTGCAGGCAACAGAGAGCTCTGGGAATACAGTGGTCCAGGCTGCTTTGTCCCAGAGAGGGGCTGAACCCCCAAGTGGGTGAACTATGAAGAAACTCTCATGGACCCAGGGATAGTGAGAAGAATGAGATTTCTCTACCCTTCTCCGCAAGGCACTGGGCCACCCACATCCCCCCAGGAGCACAGCCCTTGTAGCTACTAGACTAAGTCCCCAGAGCCAGGTGCCTGCGTGGAGGAACAGTATCCATCCCTTCTTTCCAGCTATTCGCAGCAGCCTGGTTGCACAGAGCAACTAAAGAGGAATTGAGATCAGGTGTGTCTTTGTGCTCTGGATTCTGGGGCCTTTTTGTGGCTGCTTCTCAGACATAAACCCTTCATCCTATACCCCCATTCAACGGCTGCCTCATGCTATGCATTTGTCTCCAGGTTCCCTCTCCAGATGCTCCAGCCTTCCCTGAGTATGAAAGGGCTTGATCTCCATTTTAAGGATTACATCTTTCAAGATCAGGCTGAGAAAATTGGAGGAGCAGCCCAGCCGGGGAAGTCTAGTGTGCTTGTAACCCCAGCACACTCTGGCTGGGGTGAGGGGTTGCCAGGGAAGGACCTTCTGTTTAAGACACTAGGAAAAGTAGATGGCCAAATAGGCAGAACCACAGGTAGTGGCAAGCTGGGGACTGCGAGATCCAGCATCCCTGATCCAACCTGCCCAGATGCAATCCCTTGGCACTCCTGGGCCTTGCCTCTCCCACCAGACCTGGCTACTGGCAGCTGTCTCCTGGCTTTCAGGAGAGTAAGACTGGCCTGCACTGCTAGTGGGCCCTAAGGATTGCTGGATTAGCAAGGCCCCCACCCTCCCCTGCCCACTTCACTGACCTGAAGCACCAGCGTTCATCAGGGGTGCCATCTGGCCTGGTGCCAACTTTCAGTAGCACACCTGCCCGTTGCTTCTTCCTTCTGCACCACCAGTAGCCATTCTCCATCTCCAAGACAGAGATGGCTTTCTAGAAATAAAGGATGCATCAGAAAGAGCAGCCTGGAACACTGGAGGGAAAGGTACACAGGGCAAGGGGACCAGGAAGATACCCCACAGCAATTTATAGTATAACCCAAAGCCCACTAAGCATGTGGATTCAAATCCAGCTCCAAGGCCTGATTACCTCTCTGAATCTCAGTCTCCCCATTTGTAAACCAAATGGTCCCACTTTACCTATTAGGAGCACAGAATGAGAGCTCTGTGAGGGAAGGGCTTTGTCTTATTCTTTGCTGTGTGTGTACTACCTAGAACTGTTCCTAGCCCACTTTACCTAATAATAATAATAGGCAGTCAAGAAATACTAGCTAGGGCTGGGGTTGTGACTCAGTGTGAGGCACTGGGTTCGATTCTTAGCACCACATATAAGTAAATAAAATAAAGGTCCATCAACAACTGAAAAAAAATATTTAAAAAAAAAAGAAAGACAGACTACATAATGTTTGGCGTGGTGGCACACACCTGTAATCCCACTAACTTTTGGGGCTGAAGCAGGAGGGTCACAAGTTCAAGGCCAGCCTCGGGAACTTAATGATACCCTCAGCAACTAAGTAAGGCCTGCCTCAATATTTAAAAAAAAAATTTTTTTGACTGAAAAAAGGACTGAGCCAGGCATGGTGGCACACACCTATAATCTCAGCAACTCAAGAGGCTGAGGCAGGAGGATTGCAAGTTCAAAGCCAGCCTCAGAAACTTAGCAAGGCCCTAAGCAACTTAGCAAGACCCTGTCTCAAAATTGAAGAAAGAAAAAAGAGCTGGAGAATGTGGCTCAGTGGCTAAGCACCCCTGGTTTTAATCCCTGGTACTAAAAAAAAAAAAAGACAAAGGGGGCTCAGTGGTCGAGTGCTTGTCTCGCATGCATGAAGCACTGGGTTCGATCCTCAGCACCACATTAAAAATAAACAAATAAATAAATAAAGCAAAGATATTTTTTAAAAGATTAAAAAAAAAAAAAAAAAAGACCAAGGATATAGTTTGTAGTAAAGCGTTCCTGGGTTCAATTCTCAGTGCCAAAAAAGAGAAAAAGAAAATAAATACTAGATAATAATAATGAAAATAATGACTACATTGACCACCCACTAGGCACTGTCCTGAGCACTTTATATCTCTGAGCTTATCCTATCCTCGCAACAACCCTACTAAGGAAGGAATGAATGAGGGAGTTCAGAAGTTGGTCCTGCTGAGCTCAGCCCACTCAGTTAGGTGCAGGACCCTGGACAGCCTCCAGTGGGATGGACCAAGCTCAGCAGGGTCCTGGGCACCCCTCAGCAAGAACGCAGAACTCAGAAGGGGGGTTGGGGGGAGCCTCATTTGTGGCACCTGCAGCTTCCAAATGCTCCAGCTATCCGTGGCAACGTTGTTGACGGTCTCGCTCATGAGAGCGATGAGCATGTTGAGAAGAAGGACGTAGGTGAGCAGCACGTAGGCCAGCAGCAGCAGCAGGACCACCCCACGGAAGCGCAGCTGTTCCTGGAAAGCCAGCTCGCCCATGCCAATGGTGAACTTGAAGAGCTCCAGGGAGGCATCCATGATGCCCCTGTATGGTGTTGCCTCATCCTCCTGCTCTGTCCCAGGCTGAGCTACCTCGGTGGCATTGTTTCCTGCAGGGGTTCCAGAGTCCCGGGCCTCTCGGCTTAGGCTCACCAGGGCTGTGGGAGGGTGGGAGAGGGATCCTCAGCCTGAGACCAGCCTGAGACTGCCTGAATGTGCACAGGGAGGGTGGGGGAGAGGTGGGGACCAGAAAGGGCCTTTACCTACAGCAAAGCCAAAAAGGAAGACTAAGTAGACCAGAAGGAAACGGAGTAGGTCCCTCAGGATGACCTGGAACACACAAGCCAGGAGGTAAGTGGTGGCTGCGCCATTCACTGCATATGATCCCAGACCCACAAACATGGTTCCCATGTATAACACACACACACACACACACACACACAAAAGTGCATACAGAGACCCCGAGGAGCCACACTGAGCAGAGGGGTCTTTTAAACATCTACCTCAGATCAAATCATTTTCCTATCAAAAATCCTACAGCAGCAAAAAATTAAACAGAATTATCATATGAGAGGCTGGGGTTGTGGCTCAGTGATAGAGCACTTGCCTAGCACATGTGAGGCCCTGGGTTCAATCTTTAGCACCACATAAAAATAAATAAAATAAAGTCTTTGTGTCCATCTACAACTAAAAGTATAGATAAAAATAAAAGAATTATCATATGACTCAGCAATTCTACTTCTGAGTATGCATGGACCAAAAAGAATTGAATTATTCCACTTACATGAAGTATTTGGAGCAGGTAAATTCAGAGAGATAGGAAGCAAAGGGGTGGCTTCTCTGCCAAGGGCCAAGAGAAGGAGGGAATGGGGAAGTTAGTGCTTAACTGCTTAAAGGGCTTCAAGTTTCAGTTTGGGAAGATGGGAGAGTCCTAGAGATGTATGGTGGTAATGACTACACCAACAATGGGAATGTACTGAATGCCACAGAACCATGCATTTAAAAATGGTTAAAATGAGGGGCCAGGGTTGTGGCTCAGTGGTGGAGCGCTTGCCTAGCATGCGTGAGGCATTGGGTTCGATCCCCACATAAGAGTAAAAACAAATAGGGCTGGGGCTGTAGCTCAGTGGTAAAGCGCTTGCCTTGCATGTGTGAGGCACTAGATTTGATCCTCAGCACCACATACAAATAAATACATAAAGCTTATTGTGTCCATCTACAACTAAATAAATCAAATTTAAAAAGAAAACAAAATAAAGGTATTGTGTTCATCTACAACAAAAAAATAATAATAATAATTAAAATGGTTACAATGAGGGGCTGGGATTGTGGCTCAGTGGTAGAGTGCTTGCCTAGCATATGTGAGGCACTGGTTTTGATCCTCAGTACCACATACAAATAAATAAATAAAATATAAAATTTCACCAAAAATTAATTAAAATATTTTTTTAAGAAAATGGTTAAAATGGGCCAGATGCAGTGGATTACACCTGTAATCCCAGCGACTCAGGAGGCTGAGGCAGGAGAATTGCAAGTTCAAAGCTAGCCTCAGCAATTTAGGGAGGCCCTAAGCAATTTAGTGAGACCCTGACTCAAAATAAAAATTAAAATAAAAAGGGCTGGGGATGTGACTCAGTGGTTAAGTGCCCCTGGATTCAATCCCTGATACAAAAAAAAAAGGTTAAAATAAGCCAGGTGTGGTGATGCATACCTGTAATCCCACTACTAGAGAGGTTGAGGCAGGAGATCACAAGTTCAAGACCAGTGTGAGCAAATTAGTAAGACCCTCAGCAACTTAGTGAAACCCTATCTCAATATAAGATGAAAAGGGATAGGGATGTAGCACAATGGTAGAATACCTGTCTAGTGTGTGTGCAAGGCCGTACATTCCATTCACACACACACACAAAAAAAAGTTAAAATGGTAAACTTTATGTTATGTCTACTTTATAAGGTTTTTAAAGTATTTTTATTGTAGATTGTCACAATACCTTTATTTTGTTTATTTATTTTTATGTGGTGCTGAGGACTGAACCTAGTTCCTCACACCTAATAGGCAAGCGCTCTGCCATTGGGCCACAGCCACAGCCCTCTATTTTATAAGTTTTTTTTTTATTGTTGTTGTTTGTTTAATTTTTTTTATTTATTTAATATTTATTTTTTAGTTTTAGGTGAACACAATATCTTTATTTTGTTTCTATGTGGTGCTGAGAATCGAACCCAGTGCCTCACGCATGCTAGGAGCCTTCAAATCTTCCCCACGAACAAAGCCCCCTGGACAAAGCCCCCAGCCCCTCCCTGCCTGCTAACTTCTCTGCTCTGCCTCACTCTCCGGCCCCCTGGCTCTGTCTCAAGCACTCTCTGTTTGTTCATCCCTTTTTCCTTTGTTGTTAGGATCCTTCCTCTTCAACACTGGTGGTGGCTGAATCACACTTCCAGGTCTCCACTTGACCATCACCTCTTGGGAGAAGCCATCACTCTCTCAAGTAACCTCTGTTCCCCATTCTGTCACAGTGTCCTCCTTATTTCCTTCACAAAATCTAGCAGTTGGCGGCGTTCTCAGTTGTGGTGATTTTCTTAGTGTTTTCATTTCCCCCACTGGACTGTCATCTTCAGGAGAGTAACAACTTGTCTGTTCTGTTCCCTGAATATTCTCAACATGTAGAGCAGGGCCTGGCCTATAGCAAGCACTCCCTAAATGTTTGAGGAATAAATGGATGGACACAGACACATGCAGATGCCCTCATGTCACAGGGCACAGAACACAGATGAGTGTATGTGCATATTCTCTGTTCCTTCATGAAGAAGGATACACATGCCCATGTGTAATACCTCTAAGCATACGTGTGTGCATGTCTATGTACGCAGACTGGAGCAGGTATGTGCAAACATGCATGCCCTTGCTTAAGGTGACATTCAAAGAGTGTCTGAGTGAACAACTCACAGGCAGGCACATTCATGCCCTCTTCTGCCCAGGTTATCTGTGGAGAAAGGCTTCTGGATGCTAGGGACAATGGGAATCCCACTGGGCTGTGATGGCCAGCTTTGTCCAGTCTGGCTGCCCCCGGGTTACCTTTCTCTCACCTTCTGGATCATGACGCTGTAGATGCCTGTGTGCTGGAAGCCACGTGTATAGTAAAGCAGGTTCAGCCAGCCCAGAACCAGCGAGGACACAAGTAGGGGCAGGTACCACTCGATGGCCATGAAACACAGCACCTGGGACAGCACCGTGAGCAGAGCCTGGAGCAGACTATAGGGGGACAAGGTCTGGGTTACCTTCCCACCATCTGGCAATATTCCCCCAACTCCCGCTGGCCAGCACTGACCACTACTGCCTCTCCCACCACAGGATGCCATCCATCTGCAGCCAGACCCAACAGGACCTGACCTCCCTCTTGGGCAAGTTATTTAGCCTCTGTGGGCTTCAGTTCCTTCCCCTGTAAGATGCGCATAATAACAATGGCACCTACTCTTAGAGTGTCTTTGAGGATTAAGTGAGATTCTACAAGGAAAGAGTCGGGGATCCACGGGTATAAAGGTAACAATCACAGTCATCATCTACAAGGAGGGGAGCACAAAGGAGCCCTAACTGGGTGGCAATCAGGACTCCCAAGTCTAGCTAATGTTAGGAACTTCCTGGGCCCAGCCTGGTACCTTCTGCCACAACAGTCTCTCCCAGACCTCAGAGACCGGGGAAGTAGGGGAACAGGGGAGAGGGAGACGCCACATACAAGAGAATTTCAAAGTAACTGTCCACGAAGGAGATCCAGATGAACAGACGTCGGCGCCAGAAGTACCACAGCTATGGAAAAAGACAGAGGGGTGTGAAAGTTACTCTCCAAGCACAGACACAGTCTGGCTGCCCCACAGGGCCTGGATCCCAGCTCCCTATTTGTGCCATGCTCGCTGTTGTGGGAGCCTGACCAGCCCACCTTAGTGGTGAAGGCAGCAGCTTTAACTTGGAAGGGATTCATGAATCCTGAAAACTGAGATAGCTTTCAACCCTCTTACCAAAAAGAATAGCCTTAGCTGAGCATGGTTTTGTGCAATTACAGGTACTCAGGAGGCTGAGGCAGGAGCACTGTTTGAGCCCAGGAATTTAAGGTCAGCCTTGGGCAACTTAATGAGACCCCCATCTCCAAAAATATGAATAGCCAGGCACAGTGACACACACACACATATAATCCCAGTGACTTTTGAGGCTGAGGCAGGAGGATCGTAAATTGGAAGCCAGCCTCAGCAATTTAGCAAGACCCTGTCTCAAAATAAAATTAAAAAGGGCTATGGATGTGGCTGAGTGGTTAAGCATTCCTGGATTAAATCCCCCCAAATATATAAATGAACAGCTATCTGGACACAGTGGCACATGTTTGTAATTCCAGGTACTTGAAAGGCTGAGGCAGGAGGATCACAAGTTTAAGGCCAGCCTCAGCAACTTAGCGTGACCCCCGTCTCAAAAAATGAAAGGGGCTGGGGATATGGTTCAGTCATAGAGCACGCCTGGATTCAATTCCCAATAACACCAAAAACAAAAACAAAGAAGAAGAAAAATAAGAGCAGCCACCTGTAAATACCAGACAATTCTATAGGCCTCCTGATGCTTGTGGATCTAGATGAAGAGCCCAAGTGGACCGAAGGAGAGCTCCTTCTCCCACCCCTAGCCTCCTGGGGTGCACCCTGTACTCCAGCCAAACTGAGTTTGGTGCCTGCAACCTGCTGACTCTGAGAAGGTCCCATGTCTTGGGCTTCATCCTGACTCCTGAAAGCTTGAAGCACTTCTGACTAAAGACGTCCTCCTATAGAAGATGGGCTAAGCCCCACCTGCCATCGGCCTTCTGTGCTCCCCAAGCAAGGAATGCCCCAGCCAGCCGAGGGACCCAGAGGCAAAGGCTTTCAGTTTAATTTCCAGGGGAGCAGAGCCTTCACTACCAAGAAATCAGAGAAGCCATCTGCTATCCCTCAGGTATCCCAAAAAGCATGGCAGGATGAGTACCAAGGCCCCAGAAGACAAAACCAGCACCTGTGGCCCTCAACTGGGGTAGGGCTGACTGGTATGAACAGGACTGGATATGGAAGTGATGTAGGGTGAGGAGATTGGCAGAAGCCCTTACCTGGCCCAAGAGGAGGTAGATTCCCCCAAGCAGGATCAAGATGTGGCCCAGCAGCAGCATAGAGTTTCCACCTGTTGCCTTCAGCGGGAGGAAGGCCTGCTGAAGACACACACACGCTGATAGGACCTGGGACCTGGATCCTCCCCCTAATAGCTGACAGACCATGCTGAGACTCCACTACAGAGAGGGAACGTGGGCTCCAACCAAGCACCCCTGGATTCCAGTCACTTGAGAGGCACGTTGTATAGTGGTTGTGAATGTGGGGTTTGGAACCAGAATGTCTGGTTTCAAATCCTGTCTCCACCCCTTACAGTCTGGGTGAACTTGGGAAAATTACTTAACCTCTCTGTGCCTCCCTTTCCTCAAATGAGGATGATGATAATTAGTCATCCCTGAGAGTTGTTGTGAGCATTCACTATTTAACACATGTCAGTCACTTAGAATACAGTTGCACATATGGTGAGCACTGGATCAGTATTCACTACTATTATTATTGTTAGTACTAAGAGGCTGGCCTCCATAGACCTTGGGTATATCCCTCAAGTCACCTAAGCTTCAGAGTTATCCTTTGTAGGATGGGGGTCCCTGCCCATTTTCTTCCAGGGTTGCTTCAAGTAGGCTTCCCCCAGAACATTTCCCTCCTTGCCCTTGCCTTCTCCAGAGCAGGCTGGTGGTAAGCCACAGCAGTGAAGACCAACATGTAGATCAGGTAACTCAGGAAGTTGAAAAAGAACCGGGGGATGAGCAAATCCCATTTCGCCTGCAGCAGTTTGTTCAGTGGCTCCAAAACCACCATGCGGTGTCGGTGCTGGGGCGGGAAGGGGAGAGCCATGTTTAGGTAGAGACAGGGGATGGATAGATAGCAGGTATAGACAGAGCGCCCACTTCATGTCAGGCTACTTGTAAGGGCCAAGGGAAATGGAGAGGAGTGGGGGTGGGGGTGAGGTCCCACACCACCTAGGAGTCCCAAATCTTCCCTCCCCACCTGCCTCCACCCCAGCCCTCCTGATCCTCCATTCCATAGCAAGTGCTCGTCAATAAGAGAGACCTCAATAGTTGCCTCAGAGGACCTTGGCATGATCCTTATGTTGGGTAGGATTTAAAGTGTGGAATAAGTGAGGGCCTGGCGGCCAGAGTCAGGGTGTGCAGCTATAACCCCACTTGCACAAGAATGGGGCAGGTGTGGTCCATGAGGCAACTCTGATTTGAGCCAGGCCCTTTAAAAGGCACCCCCATATCCCCATAGGCTCACCGGGCTTTTGCAGTGAAAGGCAATGATCTCCAGCACTGAGTTCTCCTCCCAGCTGTCCACAGAGGCCAGGTCATACAGTGACACCCGAACAGGCCCATAGCACCACTCGGTGAACTTTCGAGAAAGGGGCTGGCACAGTCCTGAGAACTCCCGTTGCAAGATGTGCCTGAAAATCTGCAGGACAGCCCCATGAGCTTGCTGGACCCACTCCCAGTACTGATTCTGGGTCAAGGCTGGGAAACAACCAGCACCCTGCAGAGATGCCCACCATCTGCAGAGGTGCGGGGCAGGCTCCCACACCCCCTGGAGTCCCCAAACGGCTCCTTCCCACCTACCTCTCTACCCCAGCCTTCCTGGCCCTCCATACATGGGTCTTTGTGTGTCTTAGCTCTTCCACACATCATGCCCGCTCAGCCACAGGACAGCTCTCATGCCCACCCTTCCACAGATATGTGGGCCTGCCGGCCAGCCAGGCTCTTCCTTCCCCCCTCCTGTCCCTCTTTCCTGAACTCCTTAGATGGAGTCCACATATACATGGGTATGCACTTCTGTGGTCAGAGTACAGAGCTTTCAACAGAATAGAAAGGGGTCCCGAACCTGAACAGTTAAGAAACAATTTGAGGCCTGATGTGGTGGTGCATGCCTGTAATCTCAGGCTGAGACAGGAGGATCGCAAGTTCAAAGCCAGCCTCAGCAAAGGCGAGGCACTAAGCAAGTCAGTGAGACCCTGTCTCGAAATAAAATACAAAATAGGACTAGGGATGTGGCTCAGTGAGTGCCCTGAGTTCAATCCCCAGTACTAAGAGAAAAAAAGAAAAAACAATTTGATTTCACAAATGAGAAATGGGGGAAAGAGGGTACAGATGGGAGGGCCACGCCTCTAGGCAACAAAGTAAGCCTTGTAAAGTAAGCAGGCACTCCGGGGAACATGGAGGGCAGGAAAAAAGTATTAAAACTTCAATTTACAGTAATCCCAGGTAGTCAAGAGGCTGAGGCACAGCAGGATTCCAAGTTTGAGGCCAGTCTGGGTGACTTAGTAAGATCCTGTCTCAAAATAAAAAATAAAAAGAACTAGAGATAGAGCACCACTGGGTTCAACCACCAATACCAAAACAAAAAAGATTTTTATTTATGTTTATTTTTTATCTTTTTTTTTTTTAGTACCACTTAATCACTGAGCCATATCCCTAACCACCCTCTTTTATATTTTATTTTAAGACAGGGTCTCACTAAATTGTTGAAGCTGGCTTTGAACTTTTGTTGTGGGGAGGGGGTACCGGGGATTGAACTCAGGGCCACTCGACCACTGATCCACATCCCCAGCCCTATTTTGTATTTTATTTAGAGACAGGGTCTCACTGAGTTGCTTAGTGCCTCACCATTGCTGGGACTGGCTTTGAACTCTCAATCCTCCTGTCTCAGCCTCCTTAGCTACTGAGATTACAGGCATGCACCACTGCCACCGGCTTGGCTTTGAACTTTTGAGCCTCCTGATTCATTGGGATTACAGGACTGTGCAACCATACCTTTTATTTTTATCAGGATATTTTTTTCTTCACCTTTAAAAAATGCCTGCTTTCTAAGTGTTGGCCCTGTGTAACTGCAGAGGTTGCACGTCCAGAAGTTGCGAGGGCTCTGACTATAAGGTTCAAATACTAATAAGCTAAAAAAAAAAGAAAGAAAGGAAGGAAGGAAGGAAGGAAGGAGAGGTGGATCATGCTTACTCCTTTTACCAAAAAAAAAAAAAATAATGATAATCTAGATAAATCAAATTTTAGGCATTTAAAATGGAACTGCAGGTGGGCACAGTGGTGCACACCTATAATGCCAGTGGTTTAGGAGGCTGAAACAGAAGGATCACAATCAAGGCCAGCCTCAGCAATTTAGTAAGACCGTATGCAACTTAGTGAGACCCAGACTCAAAATGAAAAATGAAGGAGCTGTGGCTGTGGATCAGCAGTAAAGCACTCATCTAACATGTGTGAGGCCCTGAGTTTGATCTTCAGTACCACATAAATAAAATTTTTTAAAAAAAGATATTATGTCCACCTGCAACTAAAAAAATTTTTTTTAAATAAATAAATAAAAAGGTGCTGGGAATGTAGCTTAGTGGTAAGTTGCCCCTGAGTTAAATCCCTAGTACCAAAAAATAAAAAATAAAAATTAAAAAAAATGGAACTGCAAAAGCCTGAAAGAAAATGCAGATATGGATATGCTATTGTATATAATTTTTACATATACAACTATTATTTTATAATATATAAATTACGTAACAGTTCCCTATAACAATCTATATAATTATATACAGAATATAATGATATAATAATCATATTATATATAAAACCTTGTAGAAGGAATTAAGCAACACAATAGTAAAACTAAAAAAAAAATCTTAATTATACATGCAGACATAATTTTTTTTTTTTTTTTTTTAGATAGAGTGAGAGAGGGAGGGAGAGAGAGAGAGAATTTTTTTAATATTTATTTTTAAGTTTTCGGCGGACACAACATCTTTGTTTGTATGTGGTGCTGAGGATCGAACCCGGGCCGCACGCATGCCAGGCGAGCGCGCTACCGCTTGAGCCACATCCCCAGCCCCCATAATTTTTTTTTTTTGTGGTATCACGGATTGAACCTAAGGCCTTGTGCACCTGTGCATGCTAAGAAAGTACTCTACCACTGAGTTACATCCCAACCCTTGTTTTATTTTTTGAAACTGGGTCTTGCTATGTTGCCCAGTATCTTTAACACCTGGGCTCAAGTGATCCCCCCACATCACTTCCAACGTAGCCAGATCTACAAGTGTCTACCACCATGCCCAGCTATAAACAGAAAACTCTTACATTCTGGATGGCAAAAAACACACCATAAATTTTTCTAAAAAAAAATGGAGGCTGGGGTAGTGGCTCAGTGGGTAGAGCACTCACCTAGCACATGTGAGCCTCCTGGGTTCGATCCTCAGCACCACATAAAAATAAAGAAAATAAAGGTATTGTGTCCAACTACAACTAAAAACCAAATATTTTTTTTTAATGCAAATAAAAGAAGGTGCACACAGCATAGCTGTCCTGAGCCCTGCTGCCTTTGCTTTCTCCCTGTGTTCCTGGAAATGTCAGGCTCAAATGACAGGGTCACTGAGAAGAACTTGGTTGAGGAGAAATTTGATGAGGAAAATGTGATTTTAACACTGGTCCCAGTTAGAGAGGAACAAGAATATCCAATGGAAACAAGTGTTTCCTCAACTGCAGAAATCAAACACGAAGTCTGCCTTCCTCAAACAAAACCTACCTAGGCTATAACCACTAGGCTATAACCCTAACCCTCTGCCTCTTGTAAAATACCATCCCTTCCCTTGCCGACCATTTTGCCTCCAATTAATAAGGTTTCTCAGGATACTTTGCGAAACTAGTGCCAACAATTTAATTTGAGTACTGATGGCCAGAAAATAGAGGTTTATTTGAGGCTACAGAAGCATGCATACCCTGAACAAAAATATGATATTCCTGAAACATCTCAGGAGGCCAGATTGAAGCCAGTTTCCAGGAAACAGAAGGCAGTGGCCAATACAGCAGGGCTTCAGGAAAGTCGTAATAAGGTTAAAAGAGAGGAAGAGACTAACATGGTTGAAGTGGTAAATTCAGCTCAGGAGTCCATATTGGCATCTTGGGCAAGGATGGCTGCCAAGGCCACTCAGCGCAAGGCTGTGAATTTGTGTCCCATCCCTACTTCTCTGGAGGCCTTTTTGATGCAAACCTCTGGTGTCAGGTGGTGTGTGGTCCATGGCCAATTTCTTTCTGCAGGAAATAGCAAGCTGGATTTGCCTGCAGTTCCATGCAGGTCAGACTTGGGTCCCTGACACTCCCAAGAGGATGATTTCCCTCTTCCTGTTACCAGCCTGTATTTTTCCACCCTCGGGACTAGAAGATAATATGTTATGCCCTAAATGTGTAAAAAGGAATAAGAAAGATGATGAAAGGATTAATTATAACAAGAGAGAAAAAGCCATGCACTGTAGGAGACCAAAAGGTGCCACCTTAAGCAATGTTAAAGTACTATTTTGATCTGAAGGCAATTGAGAAGAAACAGACAAAAAAAATTTTCTGTTTTCCCACTATTGGCCACAAAACAGGACATAAATTTGCAAATATTCCTCTTCTCTCCCAGGACAAGTGGTGGAGAGCCCATAGGTAAATCATCACACAGCCTGATGATTGCTGGGCTGGTTCCTGACCATCTTTCATTTTCAGTGTCTCCTGATCATTTGTGTCAGACTCAAATTACTATACTTTTTTTTTTTAAGCAGAGCTAGGTTTATGGGAAAACTGAGCAAAAGAGTTCTTTTATACTTCTCCAGTTGATGCGTTTAATATTAATTTTGTGTGTGTGTACTGAAGATTGAACCCAGGGACACTCTACCACTAGGCTATAACCCTAACCCCCTGCCTCTTTTTTTTGTTTGTTTGTTTTTTGGTACTGGAGATTTAACCACTCAGTCACATCCCCAGCCCTTTTAATTTTGAGACAAGTTCTCCCAAAGTTGCTTAGGGTCTCGTCTCGCTAAATTGCTGAGGCTGGCTTTGAACTTGCAGTCCTCCTGCCTCAGCCTCCTGAATCGTGGGGTTATAGGCATGCACCACTACTACCAGCAAACTAGCCCCTTTTTATCTTTATTTTAAGACAGAGTCTCACTAAATTGCTGAGACTGCCCTTGATCTTGCAATCCTGCCTTAGCCTCCTCTAAGTAGCTGAGATATAGGTGTGCATTATTGCACCTGGCTTTAATATTAACATGTCCTATTAGTGTGGTACATCCCTTAATTGATAAGTCAGTATTGGTATATTATTAATTTTGGTGGGGGCTGGGGTACCAGGGATTGAACTCAGGGGCACTCAACCACTGAGCCACATTCCCAGCCCTATTTTTATATTTTATTTAGAGACAGGGCCTCATGAGTTGCTTAGCACCTTGCTAAATTGCTGGGGCTGACTTTGAACTTGAGATCCTCCTGCCTCTGTCTCCTGAGCCACTGGGATTACAGGCATATGCCACCAAGCCCGGCCTATTATTAATTATTAACTAATTATAATGAATTATTATCTCTAATTATAATGAATTATTATCTTTATGTGGCACTGAGGATCAAACCCAGGGCCTCACACGTGTAGTCAAGCACTCTACCACTGAACTACACCCCAGTTGTATATTTGGTTTCATGCTTTTTGTTGATATCTTATGATTTTGATCCGTGTGTGTGTGTGTGTGTGTGTGTGGTGTGTTACTGGGGATTGAACCAGGAAAACACTACTACTAATCTATATCCACGGCCCATTTTATTTTTTATTTTGGTATAGGGTCTCACTAAATTGCTGAGGCTGGTTGGGGGTTGGAGATACACATTTGTAATCCTAGAGACTTGGGAGGCTAGGTCGAGAGGATTGCAAATTTGAGGTCAATCTCAACAGCTTAGCAAGACCCTGTCTAAAAATAAAAAGACTGGAGGTGTGGCACAGTGCTAAAGCATCCCTGGTAACCCTCCCCCTAAAAAAAAAAAAAAAGGTAGCCAAAGCCAGCTTTGGATTTGCAGTCCTCCTACCTCAGTCCCCCAAGTAGTTGGGATTATGGCCCCCATCACACTGGCCACTGACTAAGGTTTGGCATGTATCCAACATTCTACATGATAATTCATGGATTGCTTCATGAACCTAATGCTCTATCCCTCAGTTCTACCTGTTTTTTTCCTCCCGCCAAGCCTCTATAAATCAGATCTTTTTACTGTCATTGTAACTTTGCCCTTTCTAGGATAATTTATATTTAGAATCATACACATGTATTTTAAAATAATATGAAATATGTATTTAAGGTCTCTTCATGTCTTCATGGATTATTTTTTTAGTGCTGAGTATATCCATTCTCAAGATATATCACAGTTCATGTATTCATTCAGCTACCGAAAGACACATTGGTTGCTTCCAAGTTTTGGCAGTTATGAATTTAAAAAATGCAAATAAAATAAAGACATGATGTTCATTTACAACTCCAAATTTAAAAAAAAAAATATGGGAGGAAAAATTGCAAGCACTGTAATAGACAAAGTACTAAGTCCATTATAAAGAATGGTTACCAATCAATATGAAGAAAATATAATAGTAAATCTAATAGCAAAAGAGGCAAAGGATATGAAAAGACTGTCTCCTAGTAAGAAACCCAGAGTTTGGGAGGTGGGTGCAGTGACTCACACCTATAATCCCAGAGGCTTGGGAGGCTGAGGCAGGAGGATCTTATGTTCAAAGCCAGCCTCGGCAACTCAGTGAGGCCCTGAGCAACTTAGCAAGACCGTTTCTCCCTGGGTTCAATCCCTGGTCCCAAAAGAAAAGAAACCCAGGGCTGGGCGTATTGTGGTAGAGTACTTGCCTAGCATCTGAAAGACCCCAATACTTCAACAGAAAAAGAAAAAGAAAGAAAGAAACCCAAACAACTAAAAATATTCCCCTATGTTTTACAACACAATTTATTGACTGACTGGTCTGCTTATAATGTATAAATAAACACACACATTGAAGGTTGTTTTGATTTGGCATAAATTTGACATTTAAGAAATGTCCCCAATGTTTCCTGTGTTAAAGGTTTTGTCACCAGCAGGTGGTGCTATTGGGAAGTGGTAGATATTTTGGAACCTACTGTAAGCCCTTGAAAGGGATTCTAGATTCCTGGTTCCTCCCCTCTCCTTGCTTCTCAGATCACCATGAGATGAGCAGCTTTGCTCCACCATATGCTTTCTATCATGATGTTTTGCCTTTCTTAAAGTAACAGGGCCAAGGGACCATAGCCTGAAACTTCTGAAACTGTGAACCAAAATAAATCTTTCTACCTTTTAAAAGGTGATTCTCTCAGGCACTTTGTCACAGTGACAGTAAACTAACACTAAGGTTCCACCTGAAATTTTTTCTTATGGATAGGAACGCTTCATTGAAAAGTGGAACGACCAGTGCTCTGGTCTACCACTCAGGCTCTTTCCACAGATGTTTCTGGCTGAGTCCTGCTGCTTCCAAGAAAGAGAGAGACAACAGGGAGGGGGACAGCAGCTTACCTCAATTTTACCCTCCTTGGCAGCCAACTTCAAGGGCGTGAGGCCCTCCAAGTTGCAAATGTCTTCAAGCTGCACAGTGGGGCAGAGGCGGGCCCCTGCTTGGAGAAGGTCATCATACATGCGGATCACCAGTGCACTGTTCTCTTTAGAGTTGTCTGCAATCATCACCAGGGCATGGAGGGCTGTGTTCCCCAAGGAGTCAGTGGCCTGCAGGCTAGCACGTTGGTGCGGATTCTCCAGGAGATAGGTCACCACATCCCATTGCTTAGTACAAACAGCCAGAGATAGAGGCAGCTCACCTGTGGATGGGGAAGGGGTCAGCTTGGGCCTCAGGCCTCTCGGCTTCCATTCCTCCTGCTCTTTGGACAAAAGGTCAGGCCTCCTTGAATCAGGTCAGGCTTCATTACCATATAAGGGTATAAAACAGAGGCCACCCAACCAAGGTCCTCTCTCCCCTGCCTTTTACACTATTCTTTTCAAGAACCCAGAACATTGTCCCTTAATTCAGAATGATTAAATCCATTTTTTTTTTTTTTTTTTTTTTTTTTTTTTGTGGCAGTGCTTGGGATCAAACCCACAGCCTTATTGTGTTCTAGGCACGCACTCTACCACGGAGCTACATCTCCAGATTCCTCAGTCAAGTCTTGACACAGGCCAATACTAGCATCCCCCTGTCCTCCCTGCCTGGGAATGATGCATGCTGAGCCTCCTCCTCAACCATATGAGGATACAACATATCTTAAGGGCTGGGGATGTGGCTCAAGTGGTAGCGCGCTCGCCTGGCATGCGTGCGGCCCGGGTTCGATCCTCAGCACCACATACAAACAAAGATGTTGTGTCCGCCGAGAACTAAAAAATAAATATAATTCTCTCTCTCTAAGGAAAAAAAAAAAAACATTTCTTAAGACACCTTGCTTTTGCAGGCAGCCTAGTGGTTTGAAGAAGGGTATCAGGGTCAGGCACATGTGGATTTAAGTCCAGTTCTGCCACACACTGACTGTGTGAACTTGAACAAGGACTTGCCTCCTCCATACCTCAATGTATCCAAGAAATGTTCACTCACCAAAATAGAAGCAAGTTCCCTGTCTCTTCTGGAAGAAGTGGCCACAGGCACGGGCATGCACATCTGCCCCATTCTCCACCAGGAGCTTCACACATTGCAGGCTCCTCTTCTCAATGGCAATATGCAGGGCACTGTGGCCTCGGTAGTACTCATCCATGCACTGGGCATTAACCAGGGGCTGCGGATTGCCAGAGTCTCTATCGATTTGCAGCAATGGCAGGATGCAGGCATTGACTCCATCCTGAAGGTTCAGCACCGCCTTCATCAGACATGTCTTCCCTGTGGAGCCCTCTGTGGGAAAAAGGGAGTGGAAGGGGCACACAGTGCTCAGAACAGGAGCAACTGGGCTGCCTGCCAATGTGCAGCAAGCCCAGGCTCCAAAGTATCCCATGGGAGGATAAAAAAAGATTATTTCTTTTTTTCTTAATATTTATTTAGTTGTAGATGAACATATAGTATCTTTATTTATTTTTATGTGGTGCTGAGGATCGAACCCAGTGCCTCACACTTTCAAGGCAAGCACTTTACCACTAAGCTATAGTCCCAGTCCTAAAAAAAGACTATTTCTGTATACTACTGGTGGGAGCATGGTTATGTAGCAGAGTATTAAGACTCCAAACAAGCCAGGCATGGTGGCATACACCTGTAATCCCAGCAGCTCCAGAGGCTAAGGCAGGAAGATCATAAGTTCAAAGCCAGCCTCAGCAACTTGGAGAGGCCCTAAGCAACTTAGCAAGACACGTTCTCAAAAATATATATATATAAAAAGGGCTGGGGATGTGATTCAGTAGTTAAGCGCCCCTGGATTCAATCCTGGGTCAAAAAAAAAAAAAAACCCCTCCAGGCAACAGATATTAAAATCAACAGGTATAACAAAAATTTCTGAAAGGCTGGGGATGTGGCTCTAGTGGTAGTACACTCGCCTCAGGGTGCTGGGTTCGATCCTCAGCACCACATAAAAATAAAATAAAGATGCTGTATCCACCGAAAACTAAAAAATAAATATTTAAAAATTCTCTCTTTCTCTCTCTCTCTTTAAAAAAAAAACATGAAAAATATTTCTGAAAACAAAGTTTCTAAGACATAACTCATCACAAATGCAACATAGTCTATCCATGAGAACATTCAGAGCAGAATTTGTAGGTGATCCCCTCCACTTAATAACTCTGTCTCCTCCAGCAAGTCATTTGGCCTCTCTTAACCTCAGTTTTCCTCTTTGAAAAATGGGGATATTTGGGGGTTATTGTAAAGACCCAAAGGAATAATATAAACAAAATGCTTAGCACCAGAGGGCCTGGCACACTGGAAATTGAGGCAAAAAAAAAAAAAAAAAAAAAAAAACTATAAATGATCTAAATAGCCAACAAAAAGAAATGAATTAAGAGGCTGCGGTTGTAGCTCAGCGAGACACTGGTTTTGAACCTCAGCACCACATTAAAATAAATAAAAAAATAAAATGAAGATATTGTGTCCATCTACAACTAAAAAAATTTTTTTTTAATTTTAATATTTATTTTTTAGTTTTTGGCGGACACAACAACATCTTTGTTTGTATGTGGTGCTGAGGATCGAACCCGGGCCACACGCATGCCAGGTGAGCGCGCTACCACTTGAGCCACATCCCCAGGCCCAACTTTTTTTAATTAGTTAACTAAATTGTGGTAAATCTACACAATGGAAAACTCAATCTTCAGTCATCAGACTGAGGGATGTACTGAAATGGAAAGTGCTACCAGACACATAAGATGCATTAAGTATGCAGGGAACACATTACAAATTAGCACATATGACAATGCCCCAATTATATAAATATATACCTGGCATTCTAAGAAAGTCTGAAAAGATATGCTGCAAGCCAGTAATGGGGGCCCAGAATGACAAACTGTTTTTACCCTTGACTTCATAAATTTCCTTACTGTCCTAATCTTCTAGAATGTACATATGTTATTTTTCTAATCAGTCCAAACAATAATGATATTCAGACACTGAGCAAAGATGCTCTGCAGCAGGGGAAGAATGCGATATGTATATTATATATCTCAATAATGCTGCTCTTTTAAAAAGAGAGAGAGCAAGAGCTTTGAGTAGCCACTTAGCCACTGAAATGGACTTGAGTGGCAAAGACAGGTTGGGAGCCTGGTGGGGTAGGGTGAAGGCAGGAGGTATGGCCAGGACTGTATAGGGGCCTGTCTCCAGTCAGTTCTATTTGCAGGGCCCTCAGCAGTCATTCTAGCAGAGCTGTGGAGAATACTCCCCTCTCTGATCCTGATCATGGTCCAGGCCCACTCATTCAGCCCAGCTCTCAGCCCACAGGACACCAGAGCCCAAAGGTTGCCACAGGGCAGGATCTACCTGTGTATTCTGAGTCAGTGAGGTACTTGCTGGTCCGGTTCAGGTACTCTTGTAGCCCAGCCAGGTCTTCAGGGACACCTCGGGTGACCACACTGAAGAGTCGATCACGATCAAAGCGGTTTGGGTCTGGCTGGCTGTGGGGGAGGTAGTTTATGATTCTTCCTGGAGAAGGTCCATTTCCCCTCCACCAGAAATACCCCCATCCCAGGGAGTCCTGTAAGCACTGCTCACCCCAGGTTGAATGGGATCCCTTCTGAGGGCCTCTGCCTTCTAAGGCAGACCAAGGTGACCCCAATTGCTCAGGGTCTCAGGAAGGGGGTTGCTGTTGGGGCATTAATCTGTTGCATCCCCAGGACTCTAATCATCACTGATAATTTCAGCATCAACTGTGTATCATATGCCAGGTACACTGATGTTTCAGAGTCATTATCCTACAGAATCTTTTGGTGCACACAACTTATAGTCTAGAACTTTTACACAGTTCTGGACAGGGTCTCAGGAGGCACCTAAAGACTGATGGTGGCTTCATGCACTAGTGACCTTGACGAAGAAACATCTGGGGATGTTGTTCAGTGATGGAGTGCTTGCCTAGCATGCATAAGGCCCCAGATTCCATCCCCAGCACCGCAAAATAAAAACAAAGAAGGAATGGAGAAAAGCTCCCTCTTCCTCTCAGAAACTACATATTGACTGATTTTAGAGTACTCTGCATTTTTAATCCCTATTCCAGGCCTATAAGTTAAAAAGAAAAGAAAGAAAAATGGGGAAGTTTCTAGAAGGAATCACTCTTTTCTCCATTAGACAAACAAGGAGGTGAAGGAACTTGCCCAAAGTGATAGAGTGCAGAGCCAAGTCTCTCACAGGGGTTATCTAATAATAGTTTCAGATTCTGGACCCCAAAGAGAGTTTAGTTAGCAGGAGGTTTCCCAGAGATAGAGTAACACATGGACCCAGCCCTGCAGAAGTATCAGTCACTGACCAGAGTTTTACTGAGAAACTACACTTCTGGGAAATCTCTCCTACCTTCCCCAGAAGGAACTTCCTACTTCATTAGAATCTAGTAGATGGAGAAGGGGAAAGGGCATGGGGCCATGTCCATATTTATACCTCTGAGGCCTGAAACCATGATCGGGAGATATGAAGTGATAACCAACGTACAAAGGGCTACTTGATGCTTTGGGAAACCTCAGGCCACAGCTTACCATCTCCTGGAATGAGTCAAACCACATAAGGGTTGATGATTCTCTGATGAATAAGATGATTGTTGGAATCTGTCACATTTTCAGCTTTATAGTCACGATGGTATTAGAACCAGCCTCTGCCTCCTCAACACCAGGAAGCTGCAGTCTGCCTCATCCTGGTCCCATGTCTATCATTCCCCCAGCAGATCACATGGCCACAACATGGCTATAATGACTCCACCCACGGCTGGCTTGAGAGTACGGTGAGCAGTCTGGCTGGCAAAAGTGACCCTTTGGACACTTTCTGCCACCAGAGTAGCATCACAGGGTAGGGAAGCTCAGAGGGCATAAATTGAGGATCCAGAGGACATTGCAGGGCCCATTCTATCTCTATCAGGCTAGCAATACTACTTCCAGAAGGATGAAACCGTCCCAGGTATCCTCTCCTGTGCTGGTGCTGAATTGGATCACGGTCCTCCAGCACAAACAGCACAGGGGCTCTAGCCTGGGAGGGCAAGGCTGGTGGCCACACCTCAGGCATGAAGAGGGAGGAAGGGGTTTCCCTAGTAGTCTTTCCCAGCCCATGTGGATTTTCCAGCCTCATGGGGTAAAACTCACACTAAGGGTTATGCCAGGTGCAGCTTCCTTTGACTCCTAGCAGAACTGAAAGCAGGACCCCTGGACTTACAGTCTAAATAGCAGAGAGACCACAGGAAAATCAAAGCACAGAAACTCCTCATCCTCAATCCCCTAGGTCCACATCCCCTGGAGACAGTTTCATCCTTTGGGACGAAACCAAGAATTGCTTGGGACACTTGCAGATATCCTTGCCTTTGTCCCTGGATGGAGTATATATGGAGATCCTAATATATCCCACAGGTTCCATGACAGGGTTGGAGGGTTTTATAGCTAGGTTAAGTACTTTGGAGCTGGAAGAATGTGTCCCTATGAAGAAAAAGATAACCTTAGAGAGCAGAAGACCAAGAATTAGGAAGGTGGCCAGGTGTGGTGGTGCATGCTTGTAATCCCAGCAATTTGGGAGGCTGAGGCAGGAGGATCACAAGTTTGAGACCAGCCTCATCAACTTAGCCAGACCCTGTCTCAAAACAAAAAATAGGGGGGCTGGGATTGTGGCTCAGTGGTAGAGTGCTCACCTAGCACATGCGAGGTCCTGGGTTCAATCTTCAGCACCACATAAAAATAAATAAAATAAAGGTACTGTGTCCAGCTACAACTAAAAAATAAATTTAAAAAAATTGGGCTGGGCATATAGCTCAGTTGGTAGAGTGCTTGCCTTGCATGCACAAGGCACTGTGTTCAATCCCTGGCACCACAAAAAAATAAAAATAAAAGGGCTGGGGATCTACTTGGTGGTAGAGCACCTCTGGGTTCAATCCCTGATACAAAAAAAAAAGGGGGGGGGGGAGTTGGTGAATAGGAGAAGGAAGGGTGGTGGGAATGGCAAACCCCAGAGAACAGAGTGAAGGTCCCCCTCTGGGGCCCAACAGCCATCAGAGCTAAGCTGTACAGAAGAGGCACTGGTGCTGGGCTGGCTACTGAGCCTAATTGGGGTGCTCTGCAGAAGCTGAGTGGGGGGCCCTTTGCCCCATCTGCATCTGTGGCCTCACCTAGGACCCAGTCCCTTTCGGTAGTTGAGGTTCACTTTTATCTGAGGGGAGAAGTTCCGGTCCTCGCCCTGGAATGGTGACTCCATGGGGGGAGGCCCATGCTTTCCTCTGTCCACCTCAGCACCATCTTCTTGGTTTTGATCTGATGTCTCTAGCCTGAAAGCTGGAGGGCTGGAGGGCGAGGTCATCCTGAAGTAAGGAGGCTGCTCAGACCAATTGGAACTTCTGTGGAGATGGAGATGTCAGGGGTCCCTTCTTCCTTGAAGCCCAGTTCTGGGTTAGTCTGGTTGGAGCCTGCAGAAGAAGAGGTTTAGAAGTTGAAAGTCTGTAGATCTACAATACAGGATCCCAGCCCTGTAGGAGGGGAAGTGAGTGGGAAAGGAGAAGGGAAGAGCGCAAGAGGAGTGAGGAGCCCTGGCGTGAAAGGATGGCCCAGTGCTGGAACAGGGGAAGAACAGGGACTCAACATGGCCGCCTCTTTGATGCAGTCCCACAAAAAGAGCCATGGCTGTTGCCAACTTCCCTCTGGGACTTCCTAACATCTGAGAGGCCACAACCCTTTCTTTTACCCAACATCTTACTGGCAGACAATATTCACTACAGATAAAAGTGAAGCTTCTGGGATGGAGCAGAACACCCAATTCCTCACCACAGAAGGGAAGAGTTCTACGGAAACCAAGAGGAAAGCCACCGGTCCATCCAGCCCCTAATTTACTGCCAGGGAAACTGAGGCTCAGAGAGGGAAGTGGTTTTCTCAAGGCCACCAGTGATTAGCAGAACCAGGTCTAAAACCATCTCACTGTCTACCATGAAGTTCCTCTTCAGTTCTCAGATTCTCTCAGGGTCCATCTATGTTTACAATTTGACTCATGTCTGGGGCATGAAAATGACATCTCTCTAGGGGCTTCAGAATGGGGCAGAAAGCCCCTCCTTGGCTGATAATCGCCTTCTGCCTTCCCAACTGGGCTGGGCTTAGGGAGATCAGCTGACAACGGCCATGTCACCCTCACAGGAAAACTGAAACCACAGCCTCTATCACATGGCGAGAACTGGGATGCCAGTTAGGGTCCCGGAGCCCCTGATCCCCGGTGGGCAGAAGTAGAAAGAAGGGAAAAGAATCAGAGCTGGGTCCGAAGACAGTAAGCAGTGAGAGAAGTGGAGGCCACGGAGAGGAAGCACAGAAGAGGAGGGCCCAGAAGGGAAGGGGATGGAGCTGCTGCTTGCAGGGCCTGGGCCCACTCCCAGACAGCTTTGGGCTCCCAGTGCCTTCTAGGACCTGAATGGGGCTTTTCCACAGAGTAGCCAGGGAAGGCCAGGGCCTGTCTGGCAGCCTCCACTTGCAGTTTGACCCTCCATCTTTCTGCCCACACCAGCGTCTTACTCGAGCCACAAACCAAGCAGCCTAGAGCTTATGTCCCCAAACAAATCTTGGCTCATAGAACCCATTATTCCTAAGCCCAAGCTGCAACAGCTGTCTGTCCAGCCCCATTTCACTTTTTTCTACTGTGGGACCCTCCTGGGACCCCATACACACTGGCAGCAGAGGCAGAGGTTTGGAGGTCCACGGAAAGGGAGCCCCCTACAGACCCTGGCTTCAGACTGGCTTCCCCACCTCCATGGTTCATTGTCAGGCTTGGGGCCGATCCCCTCCTACCTCCCTTGAATTGCCCACCAACTTACCCCGCAGGCTGAAGCCAGGGCGTGGCGTCGGCTGGCAGCGGCAGCTGGGATCCCCGAGTCTTTGGGGCGGCGGGGGCTCCGAGAGGAAGTGAAGACGGGAGGGGCGGCTGGCGGTGACAGCGGCGGAGCAGCAAGAACCACCCCACCCAGTCGGAGCTCCGAGCTCCAGCTGGAGCGCTCCGGTCACCCTCAGCCCGCCCGGCTAGCCAAGCTGGGGAGTGCGGATTTTACTCTTCCCTATGTGGACCGGCTGGCCAGCACAGACTGACCATCTGGACCACTGGCCACACCCTGCTCTAGGGAGACTCGCCCCGCCCCCACGGTCCCTCCCCTCCCCCGCCACCACTGTCTGTCTAGTTCTGAAGCCCCAGGTGTGAGGGGGAGAATCCAAGGCAGCCCTTGGGTGCTGGGGCCTTGCCTTTGGTGGAAGCTGTTCTGGAGAAAGGAACTGTTGCCCCACTACACAGACATCTACCTTCTGCCCTTTCCCCCCCTCCACGTGCCTTCCTGCAGACATGTGGCTCATAACTGAGTCCTAGTTGATACATCAACAGGAGAGAGAAAGCTCCTGTGACCTGCTCCAGGGAGGGGAGACTCCCAGCCCAATAGATGTCCCGGGGAATGCGGCCTCACTTATCCTGCCAACAGGATAGGGGAACTTTCTCACCTTTTGGGGACTTTCCTCCAGCCTTAGGACCCTACAGTTTCTGAGTTTCTCCCTCTTAAGGGCAATTTTAGCACCAGCCAGCAGGTGGAGACAGAGAGGCCAACATGTAGGACCCACATTCATTGCCCTGCTCTGCTCTGCTCTGGGCTCAATTCTGGGGCTCAAGGACACAGTCACCATCCGAAGAGCCCTTGGACTCTTTCCTCTCCCTCACTCTCAACTCTTTGCCCTGGCTTTATCTCGAAAATGTGTCCTTCTGTCTAATTCAAATCACTATCTTCTCTCCGCTGTGAGACTACAGCCACCTCCAAACTGGTCTCCCTCCTTCACTCTAGACCCGCCCCCCACTCTATTATATGGTTCTCCTCCCAGCGATTGAAGAACTCCGTTACAAATGAGCACGGTAGGGGCAAGGGTAGAGTGCTTGCCTCGTACGTGTGAGGCACTCAGTTCGATTCCCACCCCATCTAAATAAGCAAATAACATAAAGGTCCATCAACAATTTTAAAAAATAATTTAAAAAGGCGCTGAGCGCACACCCGCAATCCACCCGGAGGCATACCCCTGTAATCCCAGTGGCTCAGAATCCACCTGGAGGCACAAACCTGTAATCCCACTGGCTCAGAATCCACCTGGAGGCACACACCTGCAATCCCTGTGGCTCGGGAGCCTGAGGCAGGAGGCATACCCCTGTAATCCCAGTGGCTCAGAATCCACCTGGAGGCACACACCTGTAATCCCTGTGGCTCGGGAGCCTGAGGCAGGAGGATCATGAATTCATTTCTTTGATACCCTATCTCTAAATAAAATACAAAATGGGGCTGGGGATGTGGCTCAGTGGTTGAGTGCCCCTGAGTTCAATCCCCAGTAACCCCCACAAATTGTTTTTTAAATATTTATTTTATTTTATTTTTTTATTTGTGCCAGACACTGCTAAAAGCTTTATGAGTAACTCTAAGAACGACTTTATTTTATTTTATTGTTTTTATTTTGTGGTACTGGGGATTGAGCGCGGGGGGCGGGCATTTTACCATCCCCAATCCTTTTTATTTTTTGAGAATGAATCTCACTGAATTGCTCAAGCTGGCCTTGTACTTGGCAATCCTCCCGCCTCAGCCTCCCAAGTCTGTGAGATCACAGGTGTGCACCACCACACCTGGCCCCAGCCCTTTTTAATTTCTCATTGAGACAGTGTCTCACTAAATTTCTCAGGCTAGTCAGGCACAGTGGTGCACACTTATATTCCCAGTGACTCAGGAGGCTGAGGCAGGAGGATCCCAAGTTTGAGATTGGCCACAGAAATTTACTTAGGTCCTAAGCAACTTAATGAGACTCTATATCACAATAAAAAGGACTAGGAGTATAGCTCAGCAGTAAAGCATCCCTTGGTTCAACCCCCAGTAACAAACATAATAAAATACTCAGGTGGCCTGAAACCTGCAATCCTCCTGCCTCAGTCTTCTGAACAGCTAGGATTCCAGACATGTGCTACTGCATCCAGCACAACCTTATTTCATAGACAAACTGGAGATGGGCAAGGTCAGGTACCTCACACAAGGTCATGGCTGGAAGGTGAGAAAGTTAGGATTGGAATCTAGGACCACATCCTTACCCATCATCTAAGAATTGAAATCTTGCTTTTTTGCTGTATTCAAAGCACCCACACAGTGTCCAGAGCCCAACTGTACTCAAGAAGCCTTAAATGATAGGGTACTAGCCATAATTACAGGGAAGAGGGCATCACTGTGCAATTGTCGGGGAATGAAGAGTGAGCGGAGACTTTTAAGTCCTCCAGAGTCTTCATATCGGTGAGAATGAAAATTGGACAGATGACTGTGATTTCAAATTCAGATTACAAAACCATTGACAAAATGCAAATCAAAAGTGCAATGAAGGGCTGGGGTTATGGCTTAGTGGTAGAGCGCTTGCCTTGCATATGTGAGGAACTGGGTTCAATCCTCAGCACCACATAAAAATAAATAAAATAAAGCACAATGAAGCCAAGCATTATACCTGTAATCCAAGGTACTCCTAAAGTTGTGGCAGAAGGTTCACAAGTATGAGGCCATAACTGGCTAACTTAGCAAGACCCTGTATCAAAATAAAAATGTTTGGGGATGTGGCTCAGTGGTACAGTGCCCCTGGGTTCAATCCCCAGTACCACCACCACCAAAAAAAAAAAAAAAGCACAATGAGATTCCACTTCAAACTCACTAGGATGGATAAAATTAAAACATAAAAAAATAGGTAATAACAAATGTTGGCAAAGATGTGGGGAAACTGGAATCCTCATACACAGCTGGTGGATTGTAAAATGATGTGGCTACTTTGGAAAACAATCTGGCTGTTCCCCAGAAGATTAAACATAGAGTTACTGTCTGACACAGCAATTCCATGCCTGAGAATGTATTCAAAAAACAGAAGCTAGAGACAGTGGTACACGCCTATAATGCCAATGACTCAGGAGGCTGAGGCAGGAAGATGGCAAGTTTGAGGCAAGCCTCAGCAACTTAGTGAGAACCTGTCTCAAAATAAATAAAAAGGGCTGGAAATGTATCTCAGTGGTACAGCTCTCCAGGTTTAATCTCCACTACTGGAAAAAAAAAAGAGAGAGAGAGAAAAAAATAAATGAAAACACATGTCCACACCAACACTTGTACATAAATGTTAAAACAGTATTATTTCAATAACCAAATGGAAACAACCCAAATGTCCACTAATTAAGGAATATATGCATAGCATTTGGTATATCCATACAACGGACTATTACTCCATTATAAAACATAAAGTAGGCTGGATGTGGTGATGCAGGCCCACTTGGAGGCTGAGGCAGGAGGATCCCAAGTTCAAGGACCACCTGGGCAATTTAGTGAGCCCTTATCTCAAATAAAAAATAAAAGGGGCTGGAGATGTAATCCCAGGGTTTGGGAAGTTGAGATAGGAGGATCTGAGTTCAATCCCCAGCACCAGGAAAAAAAAGAAAAGAAAAAACAAAATCAAAATAGGAACAAAGTACTAATACATGCTACAACATGGAAATTTTTAAAAAAAAAAAAACTAGGTTAAATGGTTAAATGAAAGAAGTCAGTCAAAGAAGATTACATATTGCATGACTTCATTTGTATGAAACCTATAGAAACAGAAAATAGATTTGTGGTTAACTATAGCAAGGAAATTTAAGGGGAAATAGGGCTTTTTTTTAGGGTGATGAAAATGTTCTAAATTTTTTTTATCAAACTCAGGGCCTCACATATAAGTCAGTGCTTCACCACTGAGTTACATCTGGAGACTCTAATGTTCTGTTAAAAAAAGGAAAAAAAAAAGCACCCCACTCCTTGGACCTCTGCCACCACCTCCTGAAAAGAGAGGAAGTGGGAGAGGAACCCATGTCACCTGTTACCCATATCCTCTGGCCCTGCTGCCCAGAAGAGTCTAAATGTTCTCCTGCCCCAAGCTCACCTGCACCTCTGCTCTAATCCAAGCTGGATGCAGAGTTGCATACAGAAACAAGTTCTGTGTCAGTATCATCTGGACCAGAGGCTAAACCTGGAGAGGGCTCTACAGTTTTTTTTTTGGTTTGGTTTGGGGGCTCTACAATTTTTAATGGGGCCCAGAATGGTGAATGACAGCTAATCCAAAGTGAGTTTCAGACCAATGCAATTAGCAGAGACATTGATACCACTGCCAAATTTATTGGTGAAAATGCTGCAACAGTAGGAGTGGCTGTTTCTGGTGCTGGTATTGGAACAGTCCTTGCCCGCCTTCTGGTTATGCCAGAAACCTTCACTGAAGCAGCAGTGTTCTCATATGCTCTCCTGGGGATTTTCCTTGTCTGAAGCTATGGGTCTCTTTTGTTGGATGGTCACTTTCTTGATCTTGTTTGCCAAGTAACAGAAATTACTGCTTGAAATATTGTCATTCATAGTAATTGTGGCTGTAATTCTGTCACTCTTACTGTGACTCCAAAAACTGTAGTGTTGGTGTCATAAAAATGTATGTTATTTCCAAAGTCATTTCATTAAAGATGAAAACTTAAAACAACAACGACGACGACAACTATACAAGGAAGAATACCTGTTTTTAAGAGGAAGTGAATCAAGCAGAGGAGCAGAACTTCCTCAATCTCAATCTTGATGCCTCAATCTCAACGGACTCCCAGGAGATTGAGATAGGAGGATCGAGTTCAAAACCAGCATCAGCAAAAGCGAGGCACTAAGCAACTTTGTAAGACTCTGTCTCTAAATAAAATAAAAAATATGGCTGGGGATGTGGCTCAGTGGTTGAGTGCCCCTGAGTTCAATCCCCAGTAGACCACGCTGCCACAAAAAAACAAAAACACATGGCATATTTTGTAAGTGTAAAAAGCAATTTAACTCAAATGTGTAAGAGAGTCTAAAGCAAGTGCAGAATTTGTATGAATTCTAAAAAGATTTCAGATTTCAGAGTTTCGAAGATGGAAACTGCTCTGACCTTGGAAGGAAAGATAGGACATCTGGGGGTGTTGAGAAAGAGGAGTGAAAGAACTGAGCCAGGGTCTGAACTTGCAGACTTTGCTTCTCTGTGTACGAATCCTA